ATTCCCACTTCTCAGCATGACACATTATTCTGAAACTCATGTATAAGGTAACAGGGTAAACACAATGAGAAATCTCTTTTGTATTCCATTATAGTCATTAGAGAAATAGGCCACAAAAGGTAATGGCAATAAAACTGAGTACTTTGCAGTGAGCATGTAAATTACATGTTAATGTATGCAAATTAGAACACCATGTTCAGTGTCCATAAAACTACAAAATACAGCTAATTAATGGTAGGTAAGATGCTTCATTTTATATTCACGGAGTTGCAGAGGAGGTAGTATATTTTTATAATTGTGGAACATCGGCCTTGGGGAACACATCAAACATTCGGTTTCCCTGCTCTGGCAAATTCGTCCAGCACACTGGAAGTAATTGCCTTTCTGCTTCCTTACCCAAGGTCTTACTCTGAGATCAGTCTCTGATATTAGAAGTAAAAAAAAAAAACCAAAAAAAAAACCAAAAAAAAAAAAAAAAAAACAAAAAAAAAAACACTGAAACAAAAAAACAAAAAGATTCCCAGTTTAACAATTACTTTCTTGAGGAACTAGTTCTTATTAGTGCTAATATTGTGTCTGTTCAGCAAAATGCTTAAACACATTTGGTACCCTTGGCATAGCTGAATGGATTCTGTAACTGAATCCCCAGATTGATATAGACTCCATAAAGCCCAGCTTTTTAGGTAATCTGTTGCCAGAAGAATTCACAGTTCAAGTTCCCAATACAATATGAAAACAGAGCACCTGAGAACAGATTTACAAAAAGTGACTCATCCAGGAAAAGAGGTGAAGGGAGCATGGGGTTCAAGCCCCATTTCTGGAAGATACAAACAGCACCAACAAGGCAAACTTGTCTGCCCACATTCTTGAATTCTGCCTGGGACACAGCTCTGGTTTTAAGGCCATATCTATCCTGGGCCTGAAATTAATACCCCCATCTTTTCGACTATCCATCTGACAAAGTGCAGGGGCCCAGGTCACGATGGAACAAAGCCCTGTTAAAGCCATGTGTAAGTATGTGGGTGCCTATGTGCATGTCTGTGTGCAGCCTGGGAGAATGCTGCAATCGGAGTGGAGTGAAAAAAATGAGTATTTGAGGTACACATAAACATTAATACAAGCAATGCCTATCAGTGAAAGGTCTTCTGGGTTCCCTTTTGCTGTAAATGTGCTTGCACTCTAATTTGGGTCATAGAATCACAGGATCACAGAATTGTTTATATTGGAAGGTATCCTAAAGATCATCTTGCTCCAAACCCCCTTTCCATGGACAGGGACACCTTGCAGTATACCAGATTGCTCAAAGCCCCATCCAGCCTGTCCTTGGACACTTCCAGGGATGGGCCATCCACAGCTTCTTTGGGTGTCACTGTTCCAGTGCTTCACTGCTCCATCAGTATCACTGTTTCAGCCTCACAGCCAAGAATTTCTTCCTAATATCTAATCTAAATCTGCTTATTCTTAGTTTGAAGCCATTATCCCTCATCCTGTCACTAGAAGGCCTTGTGGAAAGTCCTCTGCAGCTGTCTTGTAGCCCCCTTAGGTACCTAAAGACTCTATAAGGTCTCCCCAGAGACTTCTGTTCCTCAGGCTGGACAACCCCATGTCTCTCAGCCTATCTTCATGGGGAAGGTGTTCCATCCCTCTGATCATATTTGTGTCCCTCCTTTGTACTTGCCCAAATGGGTCAACATTATCTAGGGGGCTCCAGAGCTGGGGCACTGGGGCACTGGGGCAGCACTCCAGGTGGTGTCCACAGTGGAGCAGCAGGTCCTACTGGTCACAAGGGAGCTCTCTGGATGTCTATCTGTGTGCCATGGCTCTGTGGCCATGCCACATTCCTCTGTAGGTCGCTGGTGAGAATCTCTGTTGAGCCCATGCAAAGGCAGATCAGCTTAGCTGCTTTGCACAGCTGCCTGCACTGTCCAAGCTGGTGAGCAGCTTCCCAGACACAGCACCTGTGTCCCTGCACCAGAGCAGCTCCAGGATGTGCTGCTCCTCCTGACTGTCACTCCACCACAGTGGCTGCTTCTCTCTGCAGAGGTCCAGTGCAGCAGAGGAATGAGCACTTTGGAAAGAAATCCCAGTTATATGCCACAGATGAAGAGCGGATGTGTTTTGTGCAGGGTCTTATTTAATAGGCACTGAGTTGAGTGATCGTGATGAATGTAATATGTCTTGGGTACCCGAGACAGAGGTTATAATTTGCCAAATACTTTTCATGAGCCAGCAGTTCTCCTTCTGGAAAGCTGTTCAGCTTCAAACAAAACATTTATCTTATGTGCATGTATGTGTGGGTACATATACATAAATATATATAAAATCTGCACCTGTTTGGCAAAGCAGTTGGATTTGGATCAACTTCAGGTAAATGCTTACCTTGCAGTTCATGTAAAAATTAACCCCATTGCTAAACATGTGTCTAAGTGTTTTCTGATTTAAGATGGTTTTCAGGATCAAGGCCCTGAAGAGGACAAATGAGTGCAGCTGTTTCAGACAAGAAAACGGAGGCTGTCATAAAAGAAACACGAAGACCCAAAAGTACATGAAATAATGTAAGGACTTTTAAGCAGAAGAAGGAAAAAGATGTACAATAAAACTAACATGCTTACAGAGAGAAACAATCCAGAAAATAAATGTCAGAATAGGAGAAAAAAAGGGAAGGAGAAAGTGGAAATAGAGGATACTGGAACCTCAGTTTAAGGCAGAACACCTCTTCTTATGTTTATATCTTAAATAAACATGCTTGACTGACACTCACAAATTCTGTTTGTACCCATACTGCCTCACATTTTGTCATGCTTCCCTCTGCTAAAGAATTTTGAGAAAATATGCTTGGAAGCCTCATATTGCAGGGACTCTAGTTACAGGATAGATGCAAAAAAATGAGTGTACAACTTTATTTCCTATGGATTAAAGAAATAATTGGAGGGGGTGGGGGGAATTCTTCTGAATGGGGTATCTGAGCAATAATTCTCCATAAGAGCAGACCTTTAATTGTATGTAAGACATCTTTCAGACTATCAAGGAACTAAAACTGCCGTGCCACAACTGTACAGCAGTGGCTGTCACAGACAGGGCTGTATGGAAAACTGCTGATTCAGCATGTGATATGCAGAGGTCTTGAGCTGATGCAAACTCGTGATGGCTATAAAAGGTCTGTGAGGAAAATGGTGCTGTATTTTGATAGAAGAAAGAAGACAGATAGAGAAGGATCTGACCAAAACCTCCTCCAAAAAAATATTCTGGTACTAAAGCTTTTCTAATGTCTTCACAGAGCTTCAGGCTAATCAGATGCTCCAAGTTATTTGCATTAATTATTTACATTAGAGGCAATTGGGAAGTAATTTTTTTCTTTATCTCTGTCACCTTTTAATTCTGAACTGAAACTATTGGAAAAGTCAAAGGTCTTTACCCAGGCTGGGACCATTAACACAGTTCTTTTCTCCCCTCTCTCTTGCTTTCCTTTGCTGCCATGTGCTATATATCTTGGACAGAGCACAGCAAATCTAAAACTGATGGCCTTGTTTCTTTTGCTTTCTTGGCCCAGCACAAGCTCAATACCTGCACAAGAGGGGAGCAGGATTAGCTTGGGAAAGAAAACAAAAAAGCCTCTGCCAAAATAATAATCATAATATTAGCACACAGCTGTAGGGAGTATTTTTTTGGCATCTAAAGCAAATGCTCCCTGCTCTCTCCCTCACTCTGTAACCCTACTTCTTTCGCTTTTTAGTTTTTCACTGCCTACCAGATTCTCTATTTCCTTGTCTCACTCCAGAGTCCTGTGGTCGCTCCTTGGTGGTGGCAGCAGCAGAAGTAACTAAAGGGACTTGTGTGTGTGTGTGTGTTGGTGGTGACTCACATGCATATGATATTCCTGCAAACTTGAAACGTGCTTCAACAACTTGATGCAATTTTTTTGATCTTGATCTTGTTCATTTGGAGGGAGGAGGAGGGGAAAAGTGAGAGGGGGAGAGAGAGAGAGAGAGAGGGAACGCTGCTCTTGGCAGAAGATAGAGGCAATTGGCTGCTTTATGGCTTTGCCTTGATGTGTGTTTAAAAAACAGCTCAAAATTTGGCACAGAGGTATTTTTCCCACTTGTTTTACTTCTAAATATTCTTCAAAAGCTTCCATGGGATATAGATATTGCTTTGATCAAATGAATATACTTTATGCTGAAGTTTCTAGTTAATACTGATTTCAACTCATATTCTGCCAATTTTTTAATTTCAGATTTGATTTCAGATTTTCTGTAGCCTGTAGACAATAGAAAAATAGGACAATTTCCCCTGTGGATCCTGTTATTTTACTGATGTGCATCGAAGTTTCAGAAGATAAGGAAGAGTGAGTGAAAAAAATATTATCAAACTTGCTTCTTCAGCAAAATGTTAATGTGACCAAAAGGCTGAATGTACACAGGGAGTGTATCCCTGACAAAGATGTTTTGGAAAAGGTTCATAGCTTGAATTATCTTCTTGTAAAGCCCCCATATTTGCATTCTTACCTAATCCTTATCTGAGCTGTTTGAACCACTCATATTTGAGAAATTTTCCGGAAATATCCAGGTATGGGCCATGATGTGTGAGTCACCAGGCTTCTTGCTCCTGCTCAGTCATAAACCATCTCCTGACAGCAGCCTTTTTCACACTGCTTGGGACATTTATTATCTCATTTGGAACCTATAATGTAAAGACATTGATTTCTTCCCTCCATTAAGTTGTTTTTTTGAGTATTTCCATGAGCCAATGTTGATTAAACATCACTGATAAAAATAAAAACCCCAACACTCAAAAAAAATTGTGTTATGATGCAGTCCTCACCCTCCAGGCTGTGTTACTGTTGTGTTTCTTATTTTAGCTGCTTTGGGAGATGAAAATTTGCCCTTGCAGTACGGTTCTGCTGACTTATTAGACAACACCAGCGCTGCAGTGTGCATGTCACCTGCTGCTTTCAATTAATCTCAAATTTCAAGTAACAGTCACATACTTTTTGTGGGCTGCCACAGTCAAGATGTTCCTTCCTGGTGCAGTTGCAGGATCTGATAAATAAAAGCAGCAGACGACTTTTAGTGAAGGATTTTGGATTCTGGACCTCATGTCACTAACCCAGAGTTGAAAATCCTCAGGTAAAGAAAGAACTTGATTCATTTATTTTGCCTGAGACAGATATATATGGGATGATTTATTTAGTTGTGAGTAAATAAAGGTGCTTAGTAGGTCATGCAAAACCACAGCAGCCTCTCGTCGCTTGTATCCTACAGCACCACACTGATGCCCTTACCCTTTGCTGCCTGCACACAGGGGAGGGCAACAAAGGGAGCAGTGTGGGCTGCCAGGTGCTCTGCTGGGGGAAAAATGAACCCACTGCCATGACAGTCAGGGATAAGGGGATTCCCATAGGCCATACTAATTCAGGGGCTGTGATTCAAGACTAATACCCTCAGTTAACATCCCGTGACAGAAAACAGATTTACCTTATGGTGTATGTTACAGTCTCCCACAGGGGGGAGCATCCTGTCCTTCAAACATGCAAAAATAGAGAGCAAAAATCAAATTCCAGAGAGAAAAGTCCACTTTTGTGGCACTTTGCAGCAGCTTTTACAAAAGGCAGGAGAGGGAAGTGCATGTACTCCTTAGCTGACAAGCTGACTGATGCCAGAGAAGTTCAGCAATGACAAGCATGCCATTATTTTCGTCCTGGAGGTCTGCAATGTCATGTGCTTGTGATCTGTCTTCAGCTCCTGGACTCAGAGGAGTTGGATTGTCCAGGCAGCACTGCAGCAGCAGAGAAGCCCAGCTGTGCCAGGGCCATAAACAGAACAGTGTTTTCTGTTTAGTGCCCACCAGCAGGAATTCATGTTATTTACTAATACTTCACCATATGCCAGGACTTCACTTGCCAGTTCATGAGCACCACCTTGTGCTTTCTGATTTAGATGGGTGGCCCACAGATGATGGGTGTGAAGGACACCCCTCTCAATTAAAACCGTCCTAAAAATTATATATTTTTAAATATATTTCTACTTGGAAATGTGAGTAGTAGGGGTGTTGCATGGTGGGGATACATGTGGCAAGCGGAGAATTCTCCAGGAGGTGCCTGACAAGGTGGCTCAACCAGCTGGTGTATGGAGGACACTTTGGTTGGTGCTGTGAGTACTCCTGATGTTTCCCATGTGGTGTTGGCAGTCAGGAGAAGTCAGGCAAGCTGGGAATATGAATCAGAGATCAAAACAGCATGGATGCTCAGTCCCCAAAACTGCTGCCTGAGGTGCAGTAGGTGTAGCACAGGAAAGGATGGTGTAGACACAGGCAGCTGAAGTCCCCAGAGGGCCTTGCTTTTAACTCTACTTGCACTTGACCTTTCTGCTGTGGGAGCACAATACATATTCCAAAGCCAAAGATATATCACAGAAAGGTCCTGGTTCCTCCCCTCTAACCCTAGTTTTAAGCCATGTTGACCTCAGAGAGCACGAGACTGTGTCTTTTTTTTTTTTTTTTTGTCTTTGTGAAAGGAGTCTTGTTTGCTTGCTGGCCCTTGCACACCAAGGCACTGTTGTGTTACTTAAAATTGTAAATTATGTCTGTTTAAGAAAATGTCAGTGTTTTTTAAAACAGAATAACAGAACTGGAAAAGACTTGGCTGTGCTGTTTGTTACACAAGTTGCAGGCAGGCAGAATGATGTATTCACCATTATGAGCAGATTCAAGGAGACGAATGACTGCTGCACAATACAGCTTCAGTTCTTCCAAGTAACATGATAGTTGTTTCTTTGCTTGCCAGCAAGATTATCTGAGCAATGTAAATGCTGGTACACTGACGTATAGGAGAACCATCAATATGGGACTGTGCCCACCAACAATAACTGAAATGACTTTTCTATTAGGGGAAAAGAAAAGAGGGTTGTAAGATAAATTCATCTTTGATGGAGGAATTTGATTTCTGTGGCACCTATCATTGTACATGCAGATATTTCTTGTATATTCCTCAGGAGTTGTGTAAAACAGTTACTCAGATGTTGGATAGGACAAAGTTATAATAAGAATTTTTTGTTGACAGCCTCTAAAATCATGCTAGGAGAATCTCTCCTACTATATAATGCTGGTAAGTGCTTGAAAACCATGTTGCTTTTAACATAGATAACTCACTGCAAACCCCAGATCCTTTGAGAAAAAGAGTGAATTCAGAGAAGAAAAAATATTCTGCTTCACCATTAACACCTGCCCTCAGAGAAATTCCTCTTTTCCCATCCCAAATGGAGACTCACTGTTCCTCAAAATAACAATAGGAAAAAAAAAAAAAAAAAAACCCAAAAAAAAATAAAAAAAAGACCCAAAAAAAACAAAAAACCAAAACAAAATTAAAAAAAATAAAGAAAAAAAAAAAAAAGGGAAAAAAAGCACCTGGATTTTTGCTGTCAGTGTTAATTTTATGTGGAACAATATACAAACACACAGGAACTTAAAGCAAGATCTGTTGTGCTTTTCAGTTTTTCATCAGGAAATGCCATAAGAAAATGGCCTGGACATATGGACCGTTTCCCTCTAGTTGCATAAGAGTCTGGCTTGGCTTTGATTCACCTTAGATATTCAGAAGAAATTAGAAGGGACTTTGCACTGACTTTGTAGTGGCTGCTTGGTATATTTTTGTTTGTCCACTTGTTTTGAAATACTGCTCAATGCTTATACTCCCTTCCTCAGCAGAGGTGCTGTCTTTCCTGTGTTTTTTCACCAAACACTGAGGTTAAGCTCTGCTCTTCAGTGATATCATTTTGGAAGCCCACAAGTGAGGCTTGAGCCACAACAAAATGGAAAAGATTATATTGACATATGTGTTTTCTTACTAAATAAGGAGAAAAAACTAACAGCAGGCTTCAAATTGGATTTGTCTGTGTGGGCATACCATGCTTGACATGAAACATGTTTACCAAATTTTTTTCCCATGAGAAACACAGTTTTCCTCATCTGACACCCAGGTTTCTCATCAGAGAAACTGGGATAATATGGTATTTCAGCCACTGCTGTGGTGACTCAGAGCTCTGGCACCTCGAAGGTAACAAGTCTGAACTCTGATCAGCCTTTTGCCTTTTGCACCTGGGCCATCAAGGACTAAATTTTTTGGTTTTCTTTCTGTAGGTCTAGATTTTGAAAATTTAAGATTTTCAGAAGAGATTAGAGGTCCAATGCAAAGGACATTGAAGCCAAAGGGGTCTGATTTTCATTGAGTGACTAGTAGTTACTCTTGAAACTCAGACCAACTTTGAAGCCTGAGATTCAGACTAGGTGTCACTAAATATAGCTAAAAACTGACCACATATTTCTATTAAACTGACATTAATGGGTACAATGCTATGATACATATTTCCTTAATGTTCTTCCAAACCAGAACAAATTCATCTCTCTGTCTGTCAGCTTCTAGCTCACAGGTAAATGGGAGAATCTAAGTCTGTTCTTCAATGTGTGATGGGTTTATAGAAATCCCTGAAAGTGCAGCTTTTGGATGCATTGCAAAAGAGGGGAAAATGTTTTCCTTCTCTGGCTAGCAGCCACCATCTAATTTTAGCTGCAATCTTCAAAGGCTGTGGAATAGGCACTGCCTCTTCCCCAAAATGTGATTTCCCTGGCCTTGACACACACTGGAGTAAGTTGCTATTCACTGCTAAATTTGCTTGCGTGCAGCTAAAGCCTGATAATCTTGGGTCTCAACTAAGCCAAAGCTCTTTAACTTGTTTTATTCTGCTAGGCCATATTAAAGAACAAAGCAAAACAAAAAAATCCAAATGAAATAAACAAACAAAACCCAACAAACCAAGTCAAACCAAAAAGCCATCTTACTACACCTTACTATTTAAAAAGAATTTGGTTAAGTTGGTAACAGTCCAGATACTGAAGGAAAAGCTTTTCATGTTCCAAGAGAAGATGGTGTTCCTGGATCCCTACAGAGCCAACACTTAAGCATGGAGTTCATGACGAAAAAGGGAAAAATAAGGTGCTATTTGTCTTTATTCATAGTTTGGTGGACAGTTTCAGACATAATTGTATCTATTTCTCTAAGTTCAGTTTCCTGCACTATTTGGGTATATGCTAAGTGCCTGTGATGTGTAAGGTGCTCATATTAGTAATATCACACTGCTAAACAGCTGCTACCTTCCCTCCCAGACAGGAGTGTATTGACAAGGGGAAAAAAGTCCTGATACTTCTCCATTGTTGTGTCTGAATATCCTTCCCTCTTCCACATCTGTATGTGCATGTGTGTATATAAATATATATATATACACTCTCACATGTAGTGTGTATATATGTGTGTATATATATATATATATACTTTCACATATATATATATATATATATATATATATATATATATACACTTACTCTCACACATGGAGTTTTCAGTAGAATTCCTGACAGATTAAAGGTTATTTTATTGGCATATTTATACTACTTCTTATGTGCAAACAAGTTTTCCTAAACTCATGTTTGCAATCCTCGAATTAAGACTGAAGAATATAATGGAGACTGTGAGTTTATTACATATTTAGAATTACTTTTAGACATAGCTGCATTTTTTCCCATCTCAATTACTTTTTCAACTCGGAGCTCTTCAAAGTGTGCTGAACATACCAGTCTACAAAAGCTAAAACATATTTCTCAGAGTAGGAGTGTCTTCTGCAATGTACAAAAATAAAAAAAATAAAAGAAAGGGAAAGAAAAGAAAAGAAAAGAAAAGAAAAGAAAAGAAAAGAAAAGAAAAGAAAAGAAAAGAAAAGAGAGGTGTCTCCTGTTTAGCATGGCCCTACTTCCCCCCATTTTGATTCTACTTCCATTTCTCACAGAGATCAAGTAAGGCATTCAGGTCTTTCATTTTAAGTGCAGGAAGCAAATGGCTCATACCCCAGCAGCTGTCTTTTAGAGACTAATTTCTGCTCTGACCTTGCTTTCTTGCCTCTGTTATTGGCATCAATCCTTGTTTAACAGAATGAGAAAGTTGCATAGTTAATTATTCTGCTGTCCAGTCCCCCTCTAAGTCTGTCTTCTAACAACAAAACATAGGATCACACATCCATGTGAATGCTAACTTTATTCCTCAGCTGAAATACCATGCTTTATCTGGCTGAGGGTGGGATTT